AGAGAGAGAGAGAGAGAGAGAGAGAATGGCAACTGACCATGGGCAAAGTGAGACAATCAGCCGCCGGATTATATCGCATAATAGACAACAAATACAAGACTTCAAACGAGCTATTCTTGAGGAGAGCGATGCGATCGGTTTCGCACAGGCGTTGAAACGATTGCAAACTCTTCATAAAAGCGACAATCATTTGTATCTCTCTCTCTCTCTCTTAATTAACCATAATTTGTGTGTTTTTTAATTACAGGATTTGGATAACTCGGTTGTTATAAATATGGATTTATTAAAGCAAACCAAACGCAATATATACGGAGTGCTCACAAACTATTACAATAAAATGTTACCAATTTTGGACTCGGATAGAGTTGTACTGCATCTGGTAAATTAAATTAAGATGTATAAAATAAACTTCACAGTTAATTAATAAATTAATTTAATTAATAGTTATCAGTGATCGTGCTTTTCAATCCGGATAAAGATAATATCATTCACAGGGAAGCTATCAAGTAATATACAACACAAATAACCATGTTGCTTTAAATCATGCTAACATTTACCATATTGTAAAACAGAATTCAGCAAAACATTTACATGCATTTACTGAAGAGATATCTGTCCATCAAATATCGTAATGAATGCGAGTCTAAGACTAGATTCTTGCCTGATTACTTATGTAACGTTCTGTAATCAGATAACCCGTTTTATGTCTCCCTTTTGTGGTGCCTCTGAAAACGACTTTAAGGTTGGGGTATACATAAGGGGGAGTAGTCTCTTTAATAGTACATTAGAGTCATCCCATTGTGTTTATATTAATTTTTATAAAATATTCTCATAAATGCTTTGATTCAAAAAATTTACTCAATAAATGTATATAAAAATAATTCAATATATTATTGAATGTCTTTAAATATATCAATAATTTATTTTTGTTTGTTATTTAAGTAATTAGTATATTATGTTTTTTGAATTAATTAAATTTGATTTTTAGTAAAATATTTTATTAAATATAATTTATTCTAATAAAGTATTTTATTTTTAATTTTGTCAATAATTAAATACTCATTCACACAATTGTCACATAAATAACAAAACCAAAATAAAACTCATTGACATTCAAAAGTATTTGAAATTTTTGACGTTACCTTGTTCAATTAATTGAATTAACTGCAAATTCTGTATTTATATTTATAGTTGTAAATAGTTAATGATTTATTCTAATGGTATATAAACATAACATAATATATTGATTTTAGTATTGTATGTTGCAACTAACATGATAATATAATTTCAAATGTTATAAGTTGTGCATGATCAAATTCAATTCTCATTTTAAGAAACCAATTAGCATCAGCTTTCCTGAAGGCTATGAAGATATCTTTAAGAATTCTATAAATAATATATTATTACTGTTATAATGTTTGGCATAAAATAAATTTATGCAATATATGTATAATTAAAAATAAAATAAATCACAATCTTATTGAATGTTTTAATATTAATAAAATGTGAAGTATATTACAGCAAATATTTTAACAAATTGCCAAAAATTTTGGTAGTAGAGAGTAAATTATCGGTGATATCTAATAGCAAATTGGTAAATCGTAACAGGCTAATTAAGCTGTGCTAAATTAAGCTCAATTTACTATTGTTGAGGCCTGAGTTGATATATCATGTCACATGATTCATGTGATATATTGATGGAAAGATCTTATCATGATCTATAAACTTGTTTTTATACTTTAAAATTACAGGTTTTGTGTAACAAACGACAATTTTAATGCTCATTAGTTTAGTTGAATTTAATTTAATACACATTCTGTATTTGTATCTGTTTTTGTTGTACAACATTTGCTGATTTATCTTAATGTTATATTGACACACCATACTGTATTGTGCAACCAACATAATTATCACAACATATTTTTATTTAAAATGTATTTAAAAATGTGTTCAATTTTATTATTATATTTATATTTATTTTTTAAAAACATTTAAACTTTAATACTATGTAAACTTCAATGATATGGATTGAGTGCATATTAGGTGCAACTGTCGTATAATACTTCTTATGGGAAAATATGACTGAATTTAAATCAAAGCAAAAAATTCGCGAACAGAAGGTATGCGGTGTTTGTGGCCATAAAGCGATTGGTAAGAAAGTAATTACATAATCATAACAACAATTTAATTATTGTTTATTAATTTAGGCAAAAATTTTGGTGCAATTTCTTGTGAGCCGTGTAAAGCATTTTTTAGAAGAAACGCGTTGAAAAACACTGTATTTATTACTAATTATAAAATTATATTATTATTATCAATACATATCATATTTAATAATAAGTTTTAAAAATATTCTTACCATAATTAATAGTTTGAATGTAACTATGAAGGAATGTGTTCGATTAACATATTAACTAGGAAGTTTTGTCAAAAGTGTCGGCTCACCAAGTGCTTGGCAATCGGTATGAACGAGGTAGTTTTATATTTACACAAATTTATTATCATGTAAGATATTCTTTTATAAGTTAATTACTATATTATATAACACAAGGAATACATATTGAATGACGAGGAGAGACACATCCGGCGCATGAAAGTAGAGGCCAAACGTATGGCATTGAAGGTTAGTGGCGGACAAACCATAGCCACACCGCCGACACCCCATCCCTCGTCGTCGTCGGACACCAATAGCGAAACAACTAATAATACTGACGACATGTTTGCCACGAATTCAAATATTGATGCAAACAAAGAGTTAGACTTAGACTATGCGGTAGACTCTGGCGGGCAATTGATCCCAATCGGTGATCAGCAACTAACGAAGATCGGGAATAGCAATAAGAATACGGATAACTCGCTTGTCATTCATAACAATGACATATTGGATGCGGTGTACCACAGGTCGGCACAGTTTGAGCTGTCTGTCATACCTATCGTCAGACCACTGGCGGCAAACAGTAACCGCCTAAACGATTCCGAGTGCAAAGTACTCGGGCAGTGGTTAAGCGCCGCACAATTGTTTGCCATCAATATATCGTCGGACACCGAGACGGCCACACTTACTGACCCGCTGTTTGGTGTGAAAATGTTTGGCCATATATTTGAAACACAGGTCCGCAGTATTTCCGCTGTTGTGAAAGACTTGCAGTCATATCAATGGTTGTGCGAAACCGATCGCATCGCTCTCCTCAAGAATAGCTCGTTTGAAATCATGAATTTGCGGTCAATTATTAACTACAACCCCGCGAATGACTATTTCACTTTACCAACGGTCACTATGCTCTTTCTCTCTCTCTCTCTCTCTCTTATTATTATTTTAACTATTTTAAAGTTATATTATACTAAAACAGCTATAATCTGATTTATTGCATAATTTATACAGACATACGATTATGACACTTATTACACCTATTCCTACAATGGCTTCTGGTATTGGGCGTGGATTTTCATAATCGTCCCGATTATTGTCTGCACTTGTATTGGGATATGTGTGCGAAGACGTCGAGAGTTGGCCCGACGATCGCACCCGCAGTTTATCATAACTCAACCCCAGTATATGACGGCCAACGGTCCACCCCTTTACGATCCGCCGCCCAATTACTTCATGACTACCGCTAATGGTGTCCAACAACAGCCCAAGTGGTGATCCCATGGCTTAATATCTTACTATTTATATATCTAATGAAAGTTTTGTTTAAATTTCAAATATTATAATTTGTTAAATCATAAGCGTTCTGGTATTTTATACAATAATGAGTTTTAAAATTAATATGTACTAAAAATCATACATTTTAATATGTTATTGCGGATAATAAATATTATTTTTCAATTTAAAGTTGCATCTCACAAAAAATTGCAAAAACATTTGTTGCATTGAATTTTCTATTGTATGAGATGTTTAGTACAATAATTTTATGTACATTACATATAAAGTTTAGTTATATTATATTCATTGTTAATTATATCAGAGATAACTGAATTATATAATTACTTCAAATGTATGAAATCACTGCAAATTATTTCAGGTAAATGACAATACTATTATACATGTTCAATTTAATTATTATCATAATAATACATAAATCCCATTAGTTTATTATTTTAATATGATAATAATTTAATAAAATTTAATACTTTTGGTTGTTACACCCATTATGAATTTTACTTTAATTTATTAACATACAATATCTAATAAAGAGAAATAATTGTTTTATTTAATAATTAATAAACTATCTAAAAAGAAGGTAAATTAAGGTAACATTATTAAATATTTTGTTAACAAAAATAACAAAAAATAATATCAATTATTGGTTGCCTTAGAGTAGTCTTATTATCGCATCAATAGGTAAACACTCATAACATAAAGTTTTACAAACAATTAATTAATCGATTATTAATACTGTCTTTACATTTACATCAATAATAGATTTTTATATTACGAGCACTTGTTATAAGTAGTCTATAGTCTTGTAATTACTAAAATAATTTGAGACCAAAAATGTATATCAAAACCATATTTATAACAATAACGACAACATTACTGACAGCATGTGTTGAGCCGAAAGTGACGCCGACAAGACTCGGAGACGACCATAAGGTGCAGGACTACTGTTCCCTCACCACCACCTGCGAGGACAACCTAACCGTGTGTATCGACCACTCCTGTTATTGCGGACCCAATTACTACTATAGCGATGCCGACGACGAGTGTCTGTATTACGATTGTTTAAAGAGTGACCGAAGTGTCTGTCCGTCTTTCCACGACATCTCCCGACAGTGTGTTAGCGGTCAGTGTGTTTGCGACGACGAGACTGAGCCCGATGTTAAAAATGGGGGCAAATGTTGGCCGAAAAGGTCCGGTTCGGGCTATGGTGGCGATGGTATCAGTGTCTGGGCCTGGGTTTGGGTCGTTATTATAATACCCACTATTATTGGTGTGAGTCTTGTTTGGTATGTGAGACTCAGACGTCGGGCCAAACAAAAGGCCAATAAGTCAACTGCGCTCACAGTTTCAAAACATTAAATTTTGTATTTTAATATTAATGTTTTGTATCATGTTTTTGTAATTTTTTAATTAATTGCTACTTTATTAACATTAAATTATTTTTGTATTAATAAATGATAACTCAATTATTTAATCTAAACAATTAATACAAGAGTTTTGCTAACAATAGTACTTGAGATTCAATGTTGAGTTCCGGGAGATGTAATGAAAGGGTATTTGGTATTTCAATATTGGTTGAAATTTTATTTGCTTTCATATTATAGAGATTAATGAAAGTATATGTAATTGTGACTATTATTTGGTGTCTATTATTATCGCTAAAACTATTCAAAATCAGAAGAAAACTTCCAAATGTATTCATAAAATGGATATTATTTGTAAATTTTAATCAAATAAAAGGTTTTATGCGATGTTTATATTTATTGCATTCTCCGAATTCATAGCTTCAATATGTAATAAAGGTTTGAGAATAAAGCATAAATGTGAAGTATAAAATTTTTATTATGTATTTGAAGTTTTTAAAATAAAAGCATAAGTTTTGCAAAAGAATATTGTTTTTGTGAATATTGGAGCTATTATTCACTTAAATATTCATAAATAATGTAAAGTATGTTTATTTTTGTGGAAAATTTACAAATTGTTTTGTGGAAACTACAATAAAACTGTATAAATATTTATTTAATCTAGCTATTTATAGATTATATTTATTTTAATAATGAATTAATTAATAATATGGCTTTTGTTCAATCAAAACTCTGCCCATAGATTAAAATCTAATAATTACATAAATAAATTGAATAACCTTTCAGATGACCTTTGGCATCAAGGTTATTCTCAATTATTAAAAATTTATATAATTAAATTGATATGATTTAAAATGGTCACTGACTTTAAACATGGTTTGAATAGATAAATTAATATTTATCATTTATTTAAAATGACTTTACTTGATTGCATTAAATATATTATCCTATTGTGAATGCTTAAAAATTAAAACAATTAATTTCAGTTCATATAAAAACTATTGTAGTTTTAAATAAATGATTAGTTTAGGCATTGAATTGAAAATGTTTTTCATAATTATATTTTGTTTGTCAAATGTTTTAACTCTATTTGCATTAAACATAAATCAAAATGCAGTAAATATTAGCGAAGGAGTCAATGGATATCTGGACACCTGTAGCCCAAGTCAACCCTGTAATCCCAGTGCGGGCTATGTCTGCGTTAACGGCGTCTGCAGGTGTAGAGCCAACTATCGATACAATGGTTTTAACTGTCAGTTCTTCTCGTGCAACAGTCAATTGGACTGTCAGTCCTACGACCCAAACAGGCAGTGCTCGGCCACCGGTGCCTGTCTTTGCAAAGAGCCCTACGAGCCCAAAGTGGACGGCGGATTGTGTGACACCGATTACCCCACATATTGCGTCAAAAACCAGCCCTGTTTGATACCCAATCAGGTGTGTGTTGACAATAGGTGTCGGTGCGCTCCCAACTTTAAATGGTCGCCAACACAGGGACAGTGCACTCAATTGTTTTGCAATTCGTTCATCGATTGCAACAATAACTGGGATCCGATGCGACGGTGCGATAGCGGCCGTTGTCTTTGTTGGGATAGTGGCTATCAGGAGGACTCGGCTAATGGCGGTAAATGTGTGCCCTCTGAGGGCTCAAATATCTGGGACTGGCTATGGGTTGTGATTGTAGTCCCAATTTGTGTCGTTGTTATAATTGTTGTAATTATTTATTATAAAAAGTATATAAAAGTACGACAATCCGAAAGAATGCCTGAAGGTTAAATTTAAAGACTTATTACTTTTAAAATTTACAATTTTAATTGTTATCTGTTAATAATAATACAAGATAGATTAACTAACTAAGTTAAAATTACTATTTTTAAATAAAAATGTTTACTTATTTAATTATTTAAAAATATTGTTATAAATAAATAAAATACTATTTGAAACAAATTCACTTACATTGAGCTTCTATTATGTATTGAATGTTGAATTGTATTCATGTATTACACAACACATCTTCTATAGGATTTTTTTGACCACATTTACGACAAACTTTTTAAAACAAAAGTTTGTTTTCAATTATTTCAATGAACTCTCTCTCTCTCTCTCTCTCTCTCTCTCTC